GCCACCGCCACTGCTGGCGGTTTCGGGGCGAGTGCAGTCCCAGCCTGGCTCCCAGCTGAGGTGCCAGCACCCGCGGGAAACGGGTCCTGGAAAAACAGACCTCTCGGGGAGAGAGGCTGGACTGGGGGGAGGTGGTGTTGCCTTGCCTCGCCTCGCTTTTTTTCTTTTTGATTTTGTCTTCTTATTTCCCCCTTTTCTTTTTTTTTCCCCGTGGGTTTTTTGTCTTTCTCGGAAAGGCCCCAGTTAGGAGTTCAGACAGGAGAGGTGGCTCTCGTTGCTCTGGATTTTAGTCGGAGAAGTGTTGTTCTGGTGTTCTCCTTCGTGCCATAACAACACTCTTCCAACACTGTAAATAAAGAGCTATTCGCATCGCGGAAGGTAGTAAGAATAAAAGGGATTCGCTTCTCGCAAGCAGCTCTTCCCTGAAACAGAAGAAATAAATACACCGGGGGCACTGAGCTGAGTTTTCTATTTAGGAAAGAAAGAACGTGAGGAAAAAAGAAGCACGGACCCAACAGAACTCAAGCCCGTGCCAGGGCATTGCTTGGGGGGAATGACACCGATTCCCTTCCATGCCTTTTAGAAAAAAATACTAAATGATCCTAAAAGGAGCGATAGTAACATCTATGACAGAGTGTGGGGCCTTGATCAGGCACCGAAGGGGAAAAGAGACAAATGCATGCTTACTACTTAGCACGCAGATAAAATATTTTTTTTTTCTGACTACACCAACTATGGGAAAATATTTCGCGAAGTGCTGCCTCCCTCCGCCCCCTCCCCAGCTCACTTATCTGGACAGCTGGTATTTTACTTGGGTGTGCTTCCTAAGCCAGGAAACTTCACCACATTTTTGTTAGCAGGCCCCTTGAAAAATAAAATTACGTATTAAGTAGTTTGCAGTTTGCCTAGCCGTGCTTCTCATTTCAGGTCATAGCTGGAGGGTAGGGATGGGATCTTCCAGGTTTCGCGTTATTTTAAGCTGTGGCGAAAAGTGTAAGATTCCCAGCTGAGCTGCTGCCTGCGTGAGCGTGTTTGGTGCCTTGTGCGTTTGGAGGGGAGGTCACTTTTGTCCTCGTCTGTGGGGACTGCACGGGGGATGCAATTCAATTTCAAAAGGAAAAAGAAAAAAAAAACAAACCAAAAACACACCACAACACCAAAAACCCACATTTTTATTTCAAAATTTTGCTCTCCCCTGCTTTGCCCAAAGCAATACCGCGAGGCTGCGGAGCGTGGCTGTGTCCGTGTGTCAGTGTCTGTGTGTCCGTGCATTGAAAAAAAAAATACTTGTTGATTAGAGCTCTTCTTTCCCCCTCTCCCCCACCCCCTCCCCTCTCTTTGTGTGCCACTGCCCGGTAGGCACCCGTTGTTCCCCCTCTTAGCTCTGGTCTTTGAGAAGTGCGAGCTGGCGACCTGCACGCCCCGGGAGCCCGGCGTGGCCGGCGGGGACGTCTGCTCCTCCGACTCCTTCAACGAGGACATCGCCGTCTTCGCCAAACAGGTCCGGCACCTCTCCCCCCGGCCCTTCCCCGCACTCCCGCCACCTCCTCGGCCCACACGGCCGGGCGCTGGCAGGGGGCAGCCCCCCTCG